ATCTCCAGATGTCAGGAGCTATACCAGGTGAACTTCAGCGGCCTCTAAGCAATGGAGGTGGATGTACGTGATGAATGTATACTTGGCTTTGGAAGAGTCTGCGTTCGTGCAAATCATATTAGAAGATAATTAAAAAATATATTGTATATTCCTTTGGTCTTTTTGTTTTCCAAAGTGAAGAATCTTATTTATTCTCTCTATAATTGTTAATATGTGTAGACAGTGATGTGAATCCTTGTCCCTTAACTCTTTCCCAGTCTTGGAAAGCATGCCGAGTGTCAGATGTTTCATAAAGGAGTATAGCCAAGAGTCTTCAGACAATACAATTATTAAACACGGTAAAAGTGGCGTGCTGTGTATTATTACATTTACTTAGCATTCCAAGGAAGTATTTTAGGGAAAAGGTGTCCATGATAAGAAAACAAAGCCCCGTTGACTTTCCCAAGTAAATAGATAGATAAATAGATACCCACCGCTGGGCAGTGACAGTGGCGTGGGTGTGAGGGGGGAGGCGTCTTCACAGAACTGTCGCCAGCTTCCCAGCAGCTAATGCTATAGAAGAAATGGAAATAGCACTGGGAGCAGCTCTGATTCTTTTAAGTCGTCCTGAGTTAGGCCTTGATGCCGTGTAGGTAAATTCAGTCCATAACACGCAGAATCTTTATTGGAATTTGTACATTCATCTCTCACAGCTGTGGAGAGTTTAGACTAGTCACAACTCTCACTGGGATACTATCATCTTTGTAATTTGAAAAAGGATCAGGAGCCTGCAGGCTTGGAACATCTTGAGAAAGCTCTGGCCCTGAAATACATCATCACACGTGGGGGACACCACTTGCGGCATCATCGCAGAGAGCTTAGGAATGCCGTAATCAAGTACTTCTCTGGCATGATTTCAAATGGCCTGAGAAGTCTGAGAACTGTTTTTTTTTTTAACTGCAAAACAGATTCTTTCCTCTTCCATCAACCCCGTTGCTGTCAATGTGTCCAGTGTTAGGTGCCAGAAATGAGCATAGCCTCTTAACAATAACAATGACAAGGTTAACACGGCCGCCGGGGGCTCTCTCAAGAATCTGTTAGGGTGTATTTGGATCCACAGGCACGTTCTGAAGATGTGCACCTCTTCAGTCTTTCTAGCCTAAGTACATTTCTCTTCGGCAGCCTGGACAAAACCTGTCACTTTTTTGCCAGACCTTCTCATGCTTTCAGGCCCCTCGGCCACTATTTTTCATGGACCCCCATGTGTCCATATGGTAGGGCTAGGCTCAAAGTTGGTATATGGGAAGCAGCCTCTGACAGCACGGAGGCCTGGTGAACTATAGTCATTTGTTCAAAAGGTCAGTACTCACAGATGTGCTCTAAGAGGGTCATACAATTTTTGATCCCACCCAAATGGACATTTTATCACCATGCACATAGCAACCAACAAACAGATCAGTGCGAAGAGGCAAGTGCTAATGTATGTGGCGCAAACCCATCATCCCTCTGAGGAGTCAGTAGTCGAGCCTTTGTTTGAGGCTTTGACATTAAAATAATTTTTCCACTTCTGTAGTTCTGTGAGTCCAACTCCCTCTTCCCTCCTCCTTGTTTCATATCATTTTTTGCTTTATGATTTTCAGCCTTCAGAAAGTTAAACCTGATTCAAGCAAAAGAAAAAAGGATCAGTTGAGGAACCATGTGGGGCAGTAGGAATTTCAGCTAGGCGTTATAACAAAAGCAAATTGAGAACCAAATGGATGGAGGCCATCAGAAATGTCTCACAGGCCGGGGCTTAGGTTTAGTGCCTCGTAGTCTTCTGTGTCCCCGATTGGCCATAGTGCCTCATAGGAAGGAGGCCCGGGTTTTAAGCTGACCAGTTTGCTCCATTTCCTCAGTCACACTTCCACCTATCAATCAATCTTTTTAGTTTTAAAAAAGATGCCTGTAGGTTTCTGAAAATCCAAACGCTCTCCACGTACATGAAAAGCTCACAGAAGTCCCTAAGGATAAAGCCAACAGAACTGTCTCCCTTACAGTGAACTGCCCAAGGAATATTATAGGGGGATGGAAAGGACTTTAGTGATTGTGTATAAAACTCTTTCATTTTACAGACGAAGCAGTTAAGGCCAGAGAAGTGAAACAATTTAGAAATTCTTTAATTAAGAGATTTTCATTGCAACCATTACATTGTCTTATTTCATTATCATACTGGTTATCCTGGATAATACTGCTTTTAGTGGCTATAAAATTAATTATATAAATTTAATATCAGATTGCCACATTTTGGAATCCTTTCATGCCCGGATTGACCGTATCAATAAAAGCTATTTTACCCCCTCTAGTTCTTTGTCTCTGATTGTCTGTGTCATTTGGAGGTACCCACTGCTCTGTAGTTTTAAGTGATTATGTCTAGACCTCATATTGCGTATGAGGACACAAACTCCTGAAGGACAGGGGCTGGAACTGATGCATATTTGTTTCTCCTGTAGTGCCTAGGAAGGTGGGGGAGAAGTGTGGCCTT